TTCCAGACCTGAAGGGTACCCAGGGGCCATAGTTTCAGTGGTTCCACCAGGCTCTATCAATCAGACCAGCAAACCTGGTCTCCACCTTTTTTTCCCAAACACTACCTTTTGCAAACACGTACTAGTAATGAATGTTGACCTATGTCAACAGATGATGCTAGAAGCAAGTGAAAAGGGTTATGAATGACTGCAGGTCTCCTGACCCTGGTTTGTTTCTCTCTAGTCCTTTCAGCCCACTCATCCCTGGGGGTCTAGTCCTTTCAGCCCACTCATCCCTGGGGCTTGGGGCTTGGTCAGCTGATGGAGCTGGGCCAGGTCTCCAGCCCTGATGTTTCTCCTACACAGCCCTATTTAGCCTTTGAAAACCAACAAAGTCTGATCCCAGAGTAATGTGACAACAGGTCTTAAAATAGACTTGAAGCACTCTGTTATTTCAGTGCAAGGATTTCTGACCAATCTTTGGTTCATTCAAACCAGTAAGAACAAGTACCCTGTACTACCACAATTTTTTAAAAAATACTGTGGTTTAGGTAGAAGTTTACACAGCAAATTGGGTTCCCATTTAATAATTTTTATACAGATTTTTCATGGCATTAGTTAAAATTGTCACCATGTGTTCTGTTCTGTTTCCATTGATCTAGCATCCTTGCCCCTCCTTGCCTTCTCATCTTTGCTTTTGGGTAAATGTTGACCATTTTGTGTTACACAGTTGGTTGTTTAAGGAAGCACATTCCTCATGGGTGATATGGTTTATTTTTTAAGGCATTCTTACCTGGCTGACAGCAGACCTCTGTTTCAATTTAAAGAACACTAGTTCTTAGGGCAGTCTCAGGGATTCCTCTAGTCTCTATCAGTCCAGTAAGTCTGGTCTTTTTTAGTAATTTGAGTTTTGTTCTACATCTTTCTCCCATTCTATCTAGGACCTTCTATTGCGTTCCTGGTCAGAATGGTGGCCAGGCATCATCTAGTTCTTCTGATCTCAGGTTAGAAGAGCTCGTGTTTCATGTGGACATCTACCACAATTTAAGGTGCATTTACAGCAGTGAAATGTGGGATTCCTTGGCCAAGAAGGGATGAGAGGCGATTCTTGAGATAACATTGGTGCCCAGGCCCCTAGTGTGGATTCTTACTTGATCTGCATTGGGCACGGAATTGATTGACATAAGCCCAGGGCCTGGTGAGGCAAATGAATGGAATTCACACCTTATCTGGTAGGGGAAGAACAGCCATTGTGACCTGAGGGACCATGAAAGAGGTAGGTTTTATGTCCACAGCTAACAAAGGCCACGGCCAGCTCTTGCTCTGGAGTGCGGGTGGACAGGCCCTGCCTCTCTGTCAGTGGGAGCCGTCTCTGAAAGCCATGAGCCAGTCACCTGGAGCTGATAAATACTTAGGAGCTGGTTTGGAGTAGGGTTAACTGAGAGTGCCTATAAAATACCTTCTAGTGACTCTTGGAATCTGCTGCTACCACTCTTTTTCATAGGAAACATCTATGGCATCAGGAAAAAAAAAGTCAGACAGTGCCACAGTAGACACAGAAATGTCAAACCTCTTCCCAACACTGACCCACACGATCTATGTTCCCCTCTCCAAAGGCAGTGGTTAGTACTAGATTCTTGAATATCCTTTGTGAGGTACTATGTGCACCTATGAATATACTTGTATTGATTTTCCTTTTTTAAAAAACCCCAGTTGACCACTAACCAGAAGGCTGGTGGTTCAAACCCACCAGGCACTCCTCAGAAGGAAGGCTGGGCAATCTACTTCTGTAGTGATACCACCTTGGAAACCCAAGGAGGGGTTGCTATGAGTTGATCCAACTCTACGGCCATGAGTTTGGGTTTTTTTTTGTTGTTGTTAATTAAAGTTAACATACAGTGTCGCACACCTTGCAGTCTTTAATCTATTACTGGCTTCTAGAGGTTATTCTGTAATCACTGAGAGTTGCTGAGTTGACCCCAACTCGTGGAGACCTCATGTCTGTGAAAGTAGAACTGTGCTCTGTAGGGTTTCTGATGGCAGATTTTTCAGAGGTGGATGCCAGGCCTTTCTTCCATAGCATGTCTAGGTGAACTTGAGCTCCAATTCAGTCAGCAGGCAGTGCATTTACACCACCAGTATGTATGAAAGTCCTTTTAGTAGGTGCGTTGTTGTTGTTGTGTGCAGTGGAGTCGGACCCGACTCATGGCGACCCCTCCTTGGGTTTCCGAGGTGATATCACTACGGAATTAGATTGCCCAACCTACCTTCCGAGAAGGGGCTGGTGGGTTTGAATCACTCCAGCCTTCTGGTTAGCAGTCAAATATAGCATGACATTTTCCTTGTCTAGATGAGTGGTAGAATAACTTGCAATCTTTTGACATTTTTAAGGCTCAGCAAAGGCTAAACCCACAAAAATGAAAGAACTGTAAACAGCAGGCTTGTTTTAAGTTCCTAAAGTACTGATACTGGGTATGGATAAAGATGGGCAGCATGGTATAGTTGGAAAAAGCTGGGCACTGGAGCCACTTTCAGGAGCTCTGGTGGTGCTGTGGTTAAAGCATATAGCTGCTAACCAAAACGTCAGCAGTTTGAATCCATCAGCCACTCTGGGAGAAAGATGGGCAGTCTGCTTCCATAAAGATTTATAATCTTGGAAACCCTCTGTGGCAGTTCTACTCTGCCATACTGGGTTGCTGTGAGTCTAAATCAACTCAGTGACAGTGGGTTGGAGCCACTCTGCCTGGGTTTGAATGTCAGTGTGGCCACTTAGCTGTGGGACCATGGCTAAGTCTGTGCCTCAGTTTCTTCATATGCAAAATGGGAATAATAGCAGTAGCTACATCATAGATTTGTTATTGAGGATGAAATGAATTGATGTTTAGAAAACTGTTAGAAGGGTACTCAGCATATAATTAGGACTGTAAAGGGTCAAAATACAAAGTTTAGACCCACTGCCATTGAGTCGACTGTAACTCATAATGACCCCCATCAGGTTTCCAAGGCTGTAAAATTTAAGGAAAGCAGATTGCCTCATCTTCATCCCATGGAGCAGCTGATGGGTTTGAACCACCTACCTTTTGGTTAGCAGCCCAATGCCTTAACCACAGTGCTAACAGAGCTCCTTAATATAAACTTTGGTAGCCCTTAACTCTCTAGTTTGGAGACCACAGGCTCACTCTGGTTTAGAACTGATCAGAAAGGAAGCAATTTCAGGTAGAATCTATATGTGGGTTTTACTCTCTTATTAACTGGGCTAAAGTTAAAGATCTGAAATTTGGCCTTAGGTATGGGGAACAACAGGGCAGGCACATCATCTGAAAAGAAAGAATTGCACACTGAAGATGTCTTTTCCTCTCCAGCTTTTTATTCTGCCAGTGTCTCGGCCTGCAGGGAAGTTGAAAGACCAATACGACGAACAGCCACGTACCCTTCACGTAGATTCACTAAGAACTTTAGCCTACAGCTCCTGAAAATAGGACATTCTCTGTTTCACACCCGAGAAAACTAGCATTTGATGACTTCTGAAATGGTAGCATTTCCATAGATGATAACTTTAACTAT